CTTGACTAGAAAACGCCCTGATTTGCCTTTGAATTACGCTTGACCTAGGCACTTGCTCGTGATTCATTCACCTCCCTCCTCGCCAATGCTGACTTTAACACGCTTACCTTATTGTTCTGCCTGCCAGTTTTATTCGACTGTACTTAGCTTAACTTATGAACTTGCAGGCGATTTGCATTGTGACCTGGGGATTCGCTCGTGAACTATTCAGCTTTGTCTTCTTCACTTTTCACTTACTGAGCCATACTCATTTTGTGGCCTAATAATTTCACCCCACCTTGAGATCCGTCCTCCAATAATGTCGTTCTCTCCTCTGTGTACCTGCCTTGACTTGGCCCAACTTATTCATTTGCAGCCGAATTGAAGGCGATTTTGTGATTGGCTCCTTACAAATTTACCTCCATCATCGGTGATGTTGATATGACTTAGTTTGACTGATTGATGTGCCCCTGAATTGCATTCTATGCAGAGAATTGCTCTCGACTAATTTGGCTCTGTCCTCTCTCATATTGACCAGACTTTGCTAAGGTCACTCATTTCCCTCATAACTTCACTCGACCTTGAGATTTGCTCTGGAATAATTCAGCTCTCTCCTCGGTACATGCGACGATACTGACCTCGCCTCTTCCATTTTCCTCGGAATTAAAGCTAATTCGAATTAGCCACTTACACCACTTTAGTCACTTACTTCTGATATCATCTGATGCCAACCACCATTGGACCCATTTTTACAAAATGGCATTGCCTCATAAACGTTGATATAGCTGTTGACAGTTTTAAATAGCATTATTTCTGCATGGATACTAGCAACTTGTTTTGTTTCCCAATGGAAATTCTTACATTTTACAACTATGGTTCATTTTTACGTTGAAACAAGGCTTCGTGTTGTTCTTCTTTCCCAAAAAATACAAAGCAAGCAGTGCTACAAATTGCCATATCATGAACAGAAATTCGAGAGGCAACTGGTTTTCGATGTCACCAAATTGCGCTAGGCAGGCAATTTTATTTAACTTTAATTTAAATGCGCATGTTTTTATGTCAATTAAGAAATTACCCACATGTTATCCGCTCATGCAACTCCGATGTCAAAAATGT